CCTTCTTCCCCTCCTCCTTCTGTCCCTGGTCACCTTGTGAGGGGCAGCCTGCTCTGTGGCACAGCTGCTGATTATGTCATTATTTCTGGACCATTTTGGTCTCCGTCCGTCCGTGTGTGTGTGTGCGAGTGTGTGTGTGAGACTAATGAAGCGTGGCAAAGGGACGCATGCCAAAATGACCAGGGCGTGCATCAGAGCTGCAGATGTGTCAAAGCAACCCCCCCTATTTTCACACACACACACATGCAAACACACACTTACACACACACACACACACACACACACACACACTCCCCCTGCTGATGCCAAACTCTCCCTCCTTCAATCCAATCTGCAGTTTATTATTTTTTCTTTCTTCTGCTGCCATCTTGTTCCCTCACTTGCCCTTCCGTTCCATCTCCTTCCATCCGTCCATCCATCTTCCATCCTCCCTCCTTCGCTGCAGCTCCTTGCCCTCCATCCTTTATTGTTTGCCCACCCACCCACCCACCCTTCTATTCTCCCTCCCTCCTTCCCTCCCCCCCCGGTTCTCCTCCTCTCCAGATGTCCTGTTCCTATCTTCCAGACTCCCTTTTCGCTCCTTTCTTTTCCCCTCCTGCGCTCTCAGTTTCTCAAAGCTGGGCTGACTTCCTGACCTCCAGAGGCCCCTGTTACAGCGCTCCATGACCCCCCGCCTCCTTCCTCCTTGTTTCCCTCGGCCATACAAGCTCGGGCGATGAATTTTTAAGTCTCTAAACAAGGCCTGGACTGTGATGTGCCTATTGCAGCCTCGCCACATCCCCCAATTTCTACAAACTGAGGGGAAAGACGAAAGGAAAGAGATGTCAAAAGAGGCCGTGATATGATATGAATTGTCAGCTTGTGTGTCTAAGGGTGTGTGTGGGGGGCGTTCGGGCAAGACAGGGAGGAGATGCGATAGCGAGCGACTTCATCAGCGTCTTTGACCCTGTCCTGTCCTTGACTCCTCGGCGGAGGTGCACCTTGAGAAGAGCCCATGTGACGCTAATGCTCATGCACACCAGACAGCCAGATATACACACACTCGTGCATGTATACACGGCAGCCCCTCAAGGCTCCATGTTCTCAAGGCTATCAGCGGAGTGAGGGTGGCTGATGTTTGCTCAGCTTTGAGGCCCGCTTCCCGTCCCAGCGGTCTCCCTTAAAGCGCCGATCCAAACCCCCACGAATGAGAAATCTGAGGTGTTGGAAACGGTCGAAGGAAAACAAGTTGCACTTGAGAAAGAAATGTTATACACAGCCAAGGACCCGGCGTGACTTTGCCCTTTCTTTTCCCCGGTTGGTTGGACTCTTGAGCCGTGGCACAGTCTTATCAGCGCGAGAGGGGGGTTGGGGACAAGCGTGGTGAGGGGTAGGAAGAGAGGGGACATGGGTTGTGTTTGCCTAAAGTGACAGTGCAGGCCAAGGGCTTATCAAGGCCTTTGTAGATTATTGATTGGAGCAGATATGTGAGGGACGGGGGCCTACGTGAGAGCGGGTGTTCGAAGGTTCGGAAAGCTCTGGATTGACTCAATGAAATGTCACAGGCTCCTGTTCCGACTCTTGTTTTTAAAGTGGCAGAAGACGTCCGACTGTCCCCACACGTCCAAACAGACACATCGACAACATTTAGCGCTTTAAAAAAAAAAACCTGCAACATCCCGGTCGCACACCAACACAGTGACCGAAAAAGCATGGGAAGTGTTGGTATTCCCAGGCTGGGTTGGGGTTAGGAATTAACCTGGCCGGCAGCGGGGGCTTACGTTGTGTCCCTGCATTTCATCCTTCAAGGCAACAGCTTGCTAGCACACACACACACTCACTTGCGCACACACAGCCTTATCTTCCAGGGTCTTGTCTTGTTTGGCTAACACTGTGCAAATAGAAGGTGCAATACATCTCCTGACAGTTCCCAAAAGCAACGGGGAGAAACACATTGGTCAAACAAACAGCCAACCCTGAGTCACCCAGAGAGAAGAGATTTCTCAGGCTTTAGCGAAACACATGCACACGTATGTGCACTTGCGCGCGGTGCGTGTAACAGTAGCCTTTATTTGAGGGGCTTGGGCCTCTGGCTACCTTTTTTTTAAACGTTTGTCTAAGCAGTCTTAAGACGGGGGTGCTGCTGCCGGAGTGAATAGCTCCCAGCAAGCCGTCCACAGGCTCCTATTGTCCTCCGTCATATTTTATTATCTCATCAAAAAGCAGGAAATCCGATTCCCTCTCTCTGAAAAAGAGCTTATCCTTCTGTCTCAAAGCAACCTGTCACGAGAGAGAGAGATGGAGAGAATGGGGGAGAGAGTTGCGAGGGAGAGAGAGAGAGAGGGGGGAAGTCGGTGAAAAAGAGTGATTAACTGCCTCATTGCGATCAGTCCCTCTTTTCTTTTTTCTTTCTTGCGTTGCGTCCTCCTTGATTGGTATTTATCCAACACACAGCACAATGCAAAGGTTAGGGGAAAGCAGCTTTATCTCCTTTGCCGATTTCTTTTCCCCTCCCCGTCTTCCTCTTTTCGTATTGTGTTACAAGAGCAACAGTAATATCCCTTTTCATGAAAGCCTTTGGTTGTTTTGTTGAACCCCGTGCCACACACACTTCCATCCTTCTTGCACCATCTGCCAAAATCAGACAAGTTTTGTTTTTTTTTCATGGTTGTCCAAAAGGTTTTTACACTAAAAACAGCATTCTCAGATTTTTCTTTAAAAAAGTGGCTCTGGACCAAAAGTCCAAGAAGAAAACACATTTTCACATTCAGCCAGATTGATGCACCTTCGGTCACCTTGTTTTTGCCTTTTCCAGGCGTCACTCCTTCGCACAACTCTTCCTCCATCCTTCCCCTCTCTCTCTCTCTCTCTCTCTCCTCCCCTCTTTGTACATCTGTCCTTTAATTTTGGGCTCCGTTGAGAAGTTGTTAAAAAGCCCTATGAAATATGTATGAAGGATTGTGAGCCACGCGATTGGCCCCATTTACCGGACAGCCGAGCGAATGAACGGCCACACTGGATAATCCCCCACAATGCCTCTGGAACAAAGGCCCAACAGCTGACCCTGGAGAGAGAAAGATGAAGAGAGAGGGAAGAGGAGGGGGTGAGCGAGGATTGAATGGGACATGGGTGGAGGAGGAGGAGGAGGAGGAGGAGGAGGCGGGTGGGGTGCAAACAGTTAAGGCTGACTGCTGGTCAGGAGGCAGCACATACACAACTCGCATGTTACTCGCAAAACAAAGGCTTGCGGGACAGGAATAACTCCCTCTGTTCTCTCTCCTTAGACTCTTCTCAGCCCCTCCTTCTCTCGCCATCTCCCTCCCTACCTCCCCTCTCTCTCTCTCTCTCTCCCCCCTCCCTCCCATTCTCACTCTCTCTCGCTCTCTCAGTCAAGAGGATCTGAAATACCAATACCCTTTTCTCCTTGACATTGCTTTCTCCTTGCAGTCAGCGTTTTGCTGTCCTTTTATAGTCAAAACGTCAGGAGAAATTCCATGCAGGAATATTCTTAGTAATGCGGCACTCCCCTGCATCCAACGGCCAGGACGCCGCTGCGCCGCCGCCGCCGAGGTCTTCTGGGGGAAGGAGGCGAGCACACGCTTAGTTGTGCGAGTCGGCCTCACACCAGGGTCATTGTGCCAGTGTTTCAGTAAAGACACGCCGCCCCCACGATGAATTATACCCACTTCTGCCCCGTTTGGACTGGAATTCAATATTTGGGGAACTGGGTTAGGTCGTGTTTTCTTTTTCCTCTGTCTCTCAAGCTTCTTATTCACGGCTCACCTTTTCACTGGACAGAGATATGCGCACACACACACACACACACACACACACACAGGCATCTTAGCCTCCATTCATCACCCCGAGGGGGGGCGGGTGGCCGTCCCATGTGCGTACAAGTGTGTGTGCGAGGAGGCCTGTGTGTAGACGTGTGTGTGTGTGTGTGTGTGTTCCAGTGGCCACTAACCTTGCTGTGTCCTGACACTCCTGATGAGTATCTGCAGGACACTGGAGGAGAGGAGCGGAGTGCGCACTGTCAGGCATTTGGGCAAGCTGCTTCTGTGCATGTGTGTGCGCGCCACAATATGTGTTTGTGTGCGAGCATCAAGGGAGGCGGGCAGGGAGACAGTCAGCATTATCCAAGCAGGTGACCCCTGAAGGCTGCGTCGCCCTGGAGCTCTGAGTCGAGGAAAGAGACTCAGCCAAATACACCGGGGTGGCTGCTGTGTGTGTGTGTGTGTGTGTGTGTGCAGCGAGCATTATGTAGAGCTCTGTCACAGTACAGGATGTGTCATCTCCTTGGCACAAGGAGGTGTGTGCGCTGGTGTGTGTGCTCACGCCTGCATAAACGTGTGTGTGTGTGTGTGTGTGTGTGTGTGTGTGTGTGTGACAGAGTGTTGGCTTGGGGGAAGGTGTCACAGATCTTTGCCAGACTAATCATCTCCATGGTGTCGGTGAGCGCTGCTGTCAGGGACACTAAAGAGGCGGCGTGTCTCCCCGTTCCCAAAGCATTTAGTACTTCCTCTTTCGCCAGCAACCTCTCCGCCGCTCTTCAGCGCAGCTCCACTCTCTTGTTTGGTCACAGATTTACAGTGGGACTCATAAACATGTCACGCTCGCTGCGTTGCCAGGAGGGAAGTGAGAAACCTGAGAATTCGCAAGAAATGACTTTTTCTCAGGCCCGACAACCTCAGTCGGCTTTTAAGGAAGTAGATGCTCACGAGACGGGAGATTTATGGTTTTACATCCACAGTGAGAGTATGAACTCAGTGCTGAGGATAAGGCGGCCACAACAGCGCAGTGACCTGAGAGGGGTTATTTTAAAGTCGTCTCGTTCGTGTTTTGTAGTTGACGGAGCGTTCCGAGGGTCCAGATCAAAGCTGGTTGCCGTGAAGTTTAACCTCTAATATCACAGATTAAAAGGAACATTTTCTCGTCCTGATGCAAGAAACTAAGTGTGTCTTAAAAGATAATGAAGTGCCACGATCAATAATTAATCGTCTCTTCTTCTTTCCCTGAAGGTCCCCGATCGCTTCCTGGAGGTGGCCGAGATCACGCTGAGGGAGTTCTTCAACGCCATCGTGGCCGGCAAAGACGTGGACCCGTCCTGGAAGAAGGCCATCTACAAGGTCATCTGCAAACTGGACAGCGAGGTCCCCGAGATCTTCAAGTCCCCCAACTGTCTCCAAGAGCTTCTACACGAGTAAATCTCTCCTCCTCCTCCTCCTCCTCCTCCTCCTCTTCTTCCTCGCTCACCGCTTTGCGCTTTTTTTTTTTTGTTTGTTTTCTCTGATTTCATAGAATTTCAAAGTGATATTCTGTTTTTTTTATTTTTCTCCCTTTTTCTCCAACTTTAATTTTGATTTCTTCTTCTTTTTTTCTTTTTTTTTGAATGTATGAAAGTTATGGAGTAGCATTCCCAATCTGAAGCCTCTGTGGCAGTTCCTAGCTATTGTATTGTTGTTCTTCTATTACGATGGTTATTACATGTTTTTTTTTTTTTTTTTCTATGATTCTGAATTGAAGAGACTCTAATCTCGCTGGGTGTTTTACTGGACCGTGTGAACCCTCATCTGTTTGGCCTGTTTTATGATCAACACTAACTAGAAGTCCTCAGAGTGTGGAAGGAGTTCCCATTTACACCACTAAGAACATAGGCCGGGTTCCCTAAAAGACTTTACCTGCGGCGCCCATGGGTGCACCTGCCGGGTTTTTCAAATGAACTGCAAAGTGGGCGCCCAACAGACTGTGCACACATGCATGTACACAAAAAAAAAGGCCTAATTCAGGTTACTGACTGGTCTAAAACTGGACTCGTGGTACTGGTCTGTGGGACTCGGACCAGTTCCAAATAGCTACTGAGCTCTACCATTTTTTTTCTTTTTTTTTTTTTGAAGTGTGTTTTCCCTGCAAGTAGGGCATTGTGTTTATTGGGTGTACATTATTATTATTTTGATTACTATTCTTCTTGTTGTTGTTTATGATTATTATTTGTCATTACTGCTTGCTGAAGATTGGCACTTCAAGATTTGTTTGTCCCTTGATGCCGTTGCAGAAAAAAATAAATTATTGCTATTAATATTATTCCAAAAGATTTTTAGATTTTGAAATATTTCCCTCCCCTCCACACACACACACACACACACACACACACACATTTCCCCACCCTCCTCCTTTAACGGTTTAGTTTGTCCTTCACTGGAGCGGACTTTGGTTTTGTTGTGTTTGTTTTGTTGTTTTGCTGGTCGGGGCCTGGGGCAGCTTTGCTGGATTTGGGTTTTAATCAAAGGAACATCAGAGTTTTTCTGTTCACCTGTAGTGACAAGTTCACTCGACACCAGAGCAGTCCAGTGATGTTGCTGCGTATTGAAAAAACAAACAAACAAACAAACAAAAAAAATGGCTTCAGAAACACATGAAGTAAATAATGCAGAAATAATGAAGTAATCAGAAGAAGTGTGGCTTTTTGTTGTTGTTTTTTAAACGGCTGTATTTCCATAGCTGCTCCACCTTTGAGAACTAACCTGCTGAAAGAGCACTTGTGCATTTATCGACACAATATTGTTCACCTATGTCGGGATTAATGAACATAAACAGTAATAAGTGCAAAGATTTCTTTGTCTTTTTATAGCACTGTTCGCTGAATAGCTCGTTTGAAATGAAGTCGGCCTGTTTACGTGGCAGGCTGCTGTTATGGTGATTAGCCTATACATGGTGCAAACGACATTATGAAGTTACTTCAATAGCAGACGATACTTGAATATATCAGATTATTGTGGCAATTTAAAGTGCAGCGAAACAATACGCGGGCGAACGCGCGGAGAGCGGAAGCATCGCAGAGCGGAAGATAATTCAAGAAGGGCGACAGAAAGGAAGAAGTGAGCTGAAACACACTCGTTCTACTTGGAGTGAACTTCCCCCACGAACACTCACACACAGACACGTCTCTCCACGTTCACCTGCCTGTGAGTGATCGAGCTCCTCTCTCAGTGCAACAATACGAGGTCGGAGGTGAGCACTCACCCCAGGGGTAGATGGAGAAGCTCTCAGCACTACAAAGAGCAGGGACAAAGGCGCAGAGCGAGGAAGAACGCGCACCTGAAGCCCTCCGCTCTGTCTTGCCATCCCACACTGGCAGCTTTTAAAGACCCAAAGTGTGATTCTGTCGAAGCCACTGTGCCCAGGTTATTAAACGGCATTCCTTTCACCTGAGATTCTAATCCCAGATTTTCCACTTGAGCTGTATATCTAGAGTTTGTTTTTTTTTTTACTTCCATCCACCCTCTCAGGCTTTTAAGATTTTTAAGAAGCACTTAGTACTAGCTGCCCTTTTGATGAGGTAAGTTTTGAAGCAGTGACTGGACTTGAATACTTTGTACGGTGCGTGCGAGCTATCTGCTGATCTCACCTTGGCGACATTAGCTTATAGTGTGTCTGTGTGTGTGTGTCACAAAAGATCAAACGGGGCAGGTTGCTTAACCTGCTGACTTGTCTAAGCGAGACAAAGCGCCTGACAAAAGGAGGCAGAGAAAGACAGAGCTACTCCCTTCATTATATGTCCCGCCTCTCCTCCTCCTCCTGCTGCAGTGTTCTTCTTCTTAAGATCCAGAGTCCTGAGAGAGCGAGCCGGACACATTTCTCACTGAAGGATGGGCTCGGCCCTGCATGTCTCAGAGTCTCAAAGCACCAGCCAAGGGCTCTAAAGCGCCACAGACAAAGGAGAAAGGAAAGGACACTTTTATCTGATGCACAGATTATTATCGTACCCCACCCACCCTCCTCCCCCCTCCGCCTTCCTGCAACTCCACCCTAAAGTTAAAGAGTTCCTGCGCCTAAAAAGATTAATTCAGGATAATGAAGACTTATGTGCAAAAAAGAAAAAAAAGAAAGAAGGATTAGCAAGACCTTAATGCCGGGTTGAGAATATTTTTGTCAAGTTTTCCTTTTCTGGGGTCTCATTTGATTTTTAGGATAACATTATTGAAATACATATATAGCCTTTTTTTAATAATTGTAAAATATAAATCTATGGGATTAAAAAAAAAAGAAGTATATACAGTAGGTGAAGTTCTTTGGAAGGCACTGTTAGAAAGCGTTTCATAAAAGAAGTCTGGAGGGTATTTTTAGTGACCGTTTTTGTTGAAATCTGTATTCTGAACAAGTGAGTTGTTGGTAGATTAGGAGCAATAGTGGTAGTTTTTTGTTTTTTTTGCAGGTTTTTGTGACCAGTTTTCTTCCTTTTTTTTTTGGTTTCTTTACCTTTTTTTTTTCTATTGTGCTGAATGGCTGTCTTCTTGAGATTCGAAAAATAAAAGTTGGAATACAATTTTCAGAGTATGAGATATTGTTGTTGCTACTGTAAATACTGTCAGGATGAAACAAAGAATAGCTGTACAGTTGTTTTTCTATTATCAGTGCAAGGGGAGGATGGTTAAAACATAAAGGGTTTTAAAAAAAAGAGAAAAAAAAGAAAGAAAAAGAAACCGACTCTCCAACTGGACCCATTTTGGTTGTTCTTTTTCCCCTGCCATGCCTTTAACGGGAGTCCGTTTCCCATCGGCAGTGCCCTTGAAGTTGCACCAGCATCCATTTCTTTAATTTTTCTGACAGAACGATGCATTAGACGAGCGGTGGGGTAATGTCACCGAGTGGCCCGTTGGATGGTCTCATCCTACAAAAAAAAAAAAAAAAAAAAAAAACAAGGGCAGACCGCCGCCAACGTAGCTCTAGATCTGACCCGGGACAGAGACAGGAACTCATTGTCATCAGGAGTCTAGTGCCATGGAAGGGGAACATGTTGTATAGTTTAAAAAAAACACAAAAACAACAAAAAAAAAAAAAAGAGAGAGACAGAAAAAAAAAAGAAGTGATTTATACCCCCTCCTTTTTTTACAGTCGGGAAAAGTTTGTGGAATTCCTGTGTGCTTTGCATTATGTGTGTGTGTGTGTAGAGACGTACTGTACACGAGTGTGTGTCTGTGTGAGAGAGAAAAGACCGATTATGAGAACCTGTGAACCAGCGAGTGACACAATTCTCAACACTGTGGCCCCTCCCCCACCCCTGGGAGTACCATCCTGACATGTAAATGATTCTCATTAAGCGTTGGCAACATGTGTTTGGTGTGTGCGTGCGTGTCGCCATAATTTCCTCTGATCTGTTTTCTGACCTGTTTGAAAGAGGTTTTTGTTTCTCGATGCTTTCAGTAGTAATTCCTTCTTCTTTTTTTTTTTTATTTATTATCATTATTATTATTATTATTACACTGCTCCTCTTTTATTGTAAATATCGACGATGTGGACTTACGGTGATAAATACTGCCTTTGTATAACTTAGCAATATGTTGTGTAAATAGCGTTTTGTTGATGCTTTTTGTATGACATTATTATTCTAGTGCAGTAATTCCAGCGGGAACAGCCATGTTGAAATACAGTCTGAACAGTTACACAGGTTGTAAAATAAAACTCATGACATGGCTGCTTTTATTTCTTTTTTTTTTCTGTTATTGGTGTCTATTTGTCTTGCAGATTTTGTGTAATTTATTGGTTTAATTTATCCTAATTTATTTGATGTCGTTTTATTTTGTTTAGTTTTTTGTTTTTTTTCAAACAGGGAAGGCTGTACTGCATTTGAATAAGTAGAACCAACTTAAAAGATTTAATCCTACTTAAAAGTGAATTTCAAGAAATAAAAAATAAAATTGTAATCTAGCGCGCTCGCTCGATTGACAGGAACGATGACTGGAGATCCTGGCAGCTAAATGGAACTGGACAGATTCTTTTTTTTGTTTTGTTGTTTGTTTAAAAATAAAAGAAATAAAAGGTTTGACAGGGCAGAGGGTGGACTAGAAAGCTGAAACTAGTTTGAAGCAGTTTTGTATTTTCTCTTGAGATTTTTTTTCCTCCCCTTGTATTGCTTTGGCCCAGCCCAAAAACAACCAGTAGTCAAATTGCCTTTCGTGCCTTCACCCTCTATGAACTGAATGTATGTGCAGTATATATGCAAGCTTGTGCAAAATGAATAAAAAATTGAAATAAAAATGAAAAAGAGAGTGGAAACTGTCGACCGTTTGTTATCTGTGTCACTGTACGTATGTGTGTGTGATGAGCGCGAGTTCATAAATGAAAGAAATAAAGATCTAATGTTTCCTCACATGCTAACTTTTCCAGTGCCTTACTGGTCACAGTGTGTGTGTTTACTGGTTACTGTGTGAATCAGTGCTGCTCTG